ACGTTAGATCTTACAAGATTTGGAGTGAAAAGCTCAGACAAGATTTTGTGAAAGCCACGAAGGAGATAAAAACGAACGAGGAAATAGAAAGCATGGACGGTAAACTTGCTTACAGGATGGAAGCCAAGCAATTCATCCTCAAAAGACGAAAAACGCAGAGGCATAACAGAAGGCTAAGTAAGAAGATAGCGGAATCAAACACAAATGAAAGAACGGTCTAAAAACACTAGAAAAACAGCAGTGGGACGACGTGTGTAACGTTGCTGAGGGTAAGATTAAGCACGGAGCTTGCTGGAATTTGTGGAGACATCTGTTAAACATTGGCGACATGAAATCCAGCAAAAACACGGTGATAAGTAAATTGGTACACCAAAAAAGGTGAGAATAAACGCAACATAAATTCATGAAATGATTGGAAAAAAGAATTTGCCACAGGCACAATTTGTTGAAAAAGATAAAGTAGTAGAATAGAGGGGGAACGGTGCGAAAAAATGGACAACTAATTTACGAAGGGAGACGTGAGGTCATCCCTACACGATTTCTACAGAAAGTCAACAACAGGGTGGGACGGCATAACAACAAAATAAGTGCTCAAGAACTTGGGTGATGAATGTGTTAACTTCTTCACAGATCATTTGAACAAACTGTGAAATGAAGGGAAATACGTGGACGAGATGAAGAAGGCGGCCACGTTTCTAATACCCAAACTGGGTAAACCGTTGGGGCTCGACAACCTCTGTCCCATCTCCCTCACCTCGTGTCAAAGCAGAGCGATGGAGCACATGATTTTCAAAAGACTCACGAGGCACTTAAAACAAAGATACATGTTGCCTTACAAAATGATATGATTCAGTCCTGGTTCTGAATGCAGGAGCCATGCTTTTAATCAAAAACCACGTCGTCTAGGTCAGCCCGAAGCACACGAGCATGATATCTGGGCTGGACGTCTGAAAGCCTTTGATAGCGGGGCGCACAATGCCATACTCAAAGTCTTGTCACGCATGAGACTTGGAGAAAGGCTCTTCAATGTTATCAAATCCTTCCTGGAAGGCAGGAACGCCAGCCTAAAGCAGGGCGAACGGAAGTCGAAAGACGAACACGGGCTGGGGAACAGAGGAGCTCCGCAAGAAGCAGTGTTGTCGCTAATGCTTTTCAATCTAGGCGTGAGCAGAGTTGCCAAGAAACTATGAAAGGTTGAAGGAGGGGGTTTCGTGATATACGCGGCAGACGTAACCATCTGTAGTGCTCTAGGGAGCATGGGAGAAGCCGAAATGAGAATGCAGGAATGCGTTCGCGTGGTCAAGGACGTATTCAGTGGAATGGGTTTGGGTTGTGCGGCGTCGAACTTGGAGTTACTAATCTTAGAGGCAGGAGAAGGAGACTGAAAGGCTGCAACCAAAATAATGAACTCAAGATAACACTTAAGTGCCACGATGATTCCGAAATAAGGTAAATATAGAGAAGCTCGAAAAAATGGTGTATTACATCGACGTCAAGGGTTGTAACCTTACTACTATACAGAAAATGTAGGAGAAAACGGTACAGCTCATGATAACTTTAAAGAGAGATGACAGTTCGTTACTGCTGGTCCACACTTTCTCCTTTTGTCACTTTAGATGTGTGAAAGGTCTCGTAAATCGGTCGGTTACTGACCGCAACAGCTTAAACGCTCTACTGAGAAAGCTAAGGAAGTAAACTCTCGGGTTGCCCATTAGCACGTCGAGCGAGACACTAGCAGAGCTAGGAATGCATAACACCGAGGAGATTGCGGAGGCACAACAGATATATTTCAACTCGCTAGGTTAAACAACCCGCGCACGGCTACGAAAATACTCGGCATGACAGGACTAGACCTAAGCACAATGCGCGAACCGGAGGATGTCGAGCTCAAGCTGAATCGCGACAGAGAGATGCAATCAGAACCACCGCTCTTCCGAGGAACATGCATCCGGTGCATAACGTAAACAGGACAAAGGCGACAGAGCGAACCCTCCTAATACAAATCGAGAGCGTGGGAACACTGGCGTTGATCGTTGACGCGGCCTTGGTTAGGGATCGAAAAGCATACACGCATGCAGTAGTTGTAGACAACAGAGAAGTGCGGGACGCGATAACCATACTCAGTAAAGAATCGTCCGTCGCAGAACAGCCCACGGTCAGTGGCGTAGCCAGGGGGGGGGGGGCGAGGGGGTTCATTTTTTTCTCCTGTAATTTTTCTCGCAACGCCTTCCCCCCCCACGCCGCTTACTCACCTTGCATTTCGTCGCTTCGCGCTGACATGATTTAGAAAGTAAACGGTGGTAGTACCACAATATCATTTCTGGACGCTCTTATAGTGAATATTGTCTGCATGTCTGCAAGACGTGTGCTTTTTTTTCCAAGAAGCACACATGTCTTGCAAAGAGCTCCCTCCTCATATTTGGAATAACCAGTCAGGAAAATATTTCTTGCCCGTGAGGTTAGAAGTTAGCGCTTACTAAATGAGGGAAAACTGTAGTTAGCGCCTGGTTTCGATGGCGTAGCAAACTTCGCATAGTTTCGACGTACTGCAACTCTTAGAGTCTTGTCCCGCGTTAAAGACGTAAAAGCCAATGTTATTGTTATTCAATCCTGCGACCTCAGGGCCAGCAGTTGAGCACCCTGTACTAAATTATCAACTCAAGTTTATTCGGATTTTCTGAGAGGTGGAATTTTTTTGTAAACCGATTAACAAATTCGAAAGAGAAAGATACGTTTTTCATTGACAAGGTTGGTAACATCCGTGGTAGCGAGCCATCCAACATCCCCTAAATGAACGAGTTCGTGTTCTTGGAAGGCGAGTATGAACACTTTAGTCTTTTTTAAGTATACGTTGTTATCTTTTCTTCCCTAAGTGCCTTCAAACTTCTGTAATACAAAGCATTTGCAGACTTGCCCATTTTTTTCATCGATTCTCTGCTTAAAATTGCGTAAGCTTGTTATCTTCAATCTACCGTGATCTTGCAGTCACCTTCAATTTTTTTTTTATTTTCCATCGCTGATTCGAGAGGAGCGCGTGCATTACGGTATTTTAATTACACGATACTAATTTTTTCTTCTTAGCTTGCTTACACCGGGAGACGATTTTGTGCTTTCAACGTGAACTCAGTAACATGCTACGCGTTTACGTGCGTCTGGCTTCTTGTCGTTCCGGCTTCTGTTAAGAGAATGACAGCCATGTTTGTTGTTACATGCTATGTTTTATATGGGTGGCGTTTTGTCATTGCTGACGAGTGAGACTTATAAGAAGAACCTTTATCGAACCAAGCTTAGTCGGTAGTTTTGAACTGGTCCTCCTGTGCACGTGTTTTCTTACGTCTTCATTTTCTGTGAGGATTAACTTTGCAAGATGTCGAACCAACCTGCCAGATCAAATCCCACCTAAACCAACACTAGGGCTCCACTTACAATTCCATTGTAAGCGGAAAGACAAATAATTTCACAAATGGTTAGTTGGCTTGTTTCTAAACGACTAAGTAGGGCAACGAAGCTTTTGTCATGTGGAGACGCAATTAGTCACCGGAATGAACCTATAGTGTAGCCACTAAATCTGTAGCTAGGTAAGCGGCATTGGAAATTCATGAGTCTTGTACGAGCCTGCGGTTTACATTCAATAGCACAACACGCTGTGTTTCTTTAAAATATATTTTTACTGAATTCACTATACGCTATAAAAGTATAATCTTCCAATACACAGGTTTAACTTGTCTCAAAATAACACGGTGCAGTGAGTTACAAAAGAGGCCATACAGCTGATGGCTATCGACGAAAGCTGATCATGTGGAGTTGTTTAAAGTACGCTGAAACCTGTGAGCGATCGTTTCTGGCATTTAACCTCTGATATGCGTCCAGTCATGAGTTATTTGACGTATGCATGTGGGAGGTGTGCGCTTCGCCGATGACATTGCATTGCTGAGTAACTCAGGGGACGAATTGCAACTCATGATTACGGAGTCACACAAGGAGAGCAGAAAGGTGGGTCTTAAAATTAATCTGCAGAAAACGAAAGTAATGTACAACAACCTCGGAAAGGAGCAGTGCTTCGAGATAGGTATTAGTGCACTTGAAGTTGTAAAAGACTATGTCTACTTAGGGCAGGTAATGACCGCAGAGCCTAACCACGATATTGAAGTAACTAGAAGAATAAGAATGGGGTGGAGCACATTCGGCAAGCACTCTCAATTTATGACAGGTAGATTGCCATTATCCCTTAAGAGGAAGGTATATAACAGCTGCATCTTGCCGGTACTTAGCTACGGAGCAGAAACCTGGAGACTCACAAAGAGGGTTCAGCTTAAATTGAGGACGACGCAGCGAGAAATGGAAAGAAAAATGGTAGGTGTAACCTTAAGAAACAAGAAGAGAGCAGAGTGGATTAGGGGACAAACGGGGGTTAAGGATATCATAGTTGAAATAAAGAAGAGGAAATGGACATGTGCCGGGCATGTAGCGCGTAGACAGGATAACCGCTGGTCATTAAGGGTAACTAACTGGATTCCCAGAGAAGGAATGCGCGTTAGGGGGAGACAGAAGGTTAGGTGGGCAGATGAGATTAAGAAGTTTGCGGGTATAAATTGGCAGCAGCAAGCACAGGACCGGGTTAACTGGCGGAACATGGGAGAGGCCTTTGTCCTGCAGTGGACGTAGTCAGGCTGATGATGATGATGATGATGATGATGATGATGATGATGATGATGCGTTCAGTCATTGAACCGGTGGCCACGTGCTATGCAGTGTAACGTCAAAAAATTCAATTTCTTTAAGCTATGCTTTAAGGGAGTAAATTAAAAAGCGGAAAAAAGAATTTCACACGCAACGATTTCCGAAATGTAGAAGCATTTTACAATTATGAAATTCAACTCTGACTTTCTTCGCCCCTTGTCATTTCCCATTGTATGTTAGTTGTCATTATATTTTATCTAAAAACGAAAATCAGCCATTCAATTTACACTGATTTCCCTCGCCCCTTCTTGGTAACTCAGTTCGAGAAGAATGTGCTCGAGTGCTGCGTCTACCTGCTGCGTCACGTGGGACGACTGGCATCACCGTCGTGTGCAGATCCAGTCAAAGTCGCAAGGCACGTCTCTGCTGTGGTAAGAACCGACCAGCAGGCAGAGCATATTGTTTCGAAATCTTGGAGCAGTAATGCACGTTATGCGAAGCTCTCACAGTTGTCCGTAACGCGACATCCCAAAATAGACTTTTTCGCACATAATTCCAGGTCAACTCCCCGAATGATGAAGGTGTCATTGAGGGCAACTGGACAGAAAAATTCACCAGTGGTACAGCTCCAACAGGATGGACAGGGAGTGCCTCAATATTGCAACAGTTTTACAAAAACAAAAAGCCTGTGAAGTTTGGCCAGTGCTGGGTCTTCGCAGGTGTAGCAACCACAGGTGAGAGCTACTCATCCCCTCTCCTCCACGGACTGACGCTACAAGGGGCAATTGACACTCTCTCGCAATGGCATTGCAAAGCTTCGTTTTAACGAAGCGTGTGCTACATTTTGTAGGAAAATACTTCAGACAGACAGACAGACAGACACACAGACAGACACACAGACAGACACACAGACAGACACACAGACAGACAGACAGACAGACAGACAGACAGACCAATAGACGGATAGATAGATAGATAGATAGATGGATAAATAGATAGATAGATAGATAGATAGATAGATAGATAGATAGATGCCACTAAGACACCAGAACGTCCCTTTTATTTAGACCATGTTTTCGCAGTACTTCGGGCACTGGGCATACCGTCTCGGCCAGTCACCAACTACTACTCGGCCCATGACACACAAAGCAGCTTGACTGTGGACCAGTTCTATGACGAGAATGGCGAGGCCATTGAAAAACTGAACAAGGACTCTATCTGGTACGCAAAGACGGTTCTCATGTGCGCAGCGCGTCTAATTGCGAATAACTAAGCACACTTTTAGCGCTGGTGAGCCATTATTGTCGTGGTTATGAACTAGTGAGTGGAACAGAAATTGTGGCTCTGCAGGAACTTTCACGTGTGGAACGAGGCGTGGATGACGCGGCCAGACCTGGAGCCTGGAGACTACTCCGGCTGGCAGGCCATCGACGCCACACCGCAGGAAGCCTCGGACGGTGAGTTGGGCAAACTGTTCTTGCAAATATCGCATGTCACTCAAGGGTCATGTGATTGGTGCATGGTGACATGATGTTCTAGCAGCGAAAGCCAATAAATCTTGAGGACAGACGAGTAAGTTCACTGCTTTGAATATGAAATTTTACACAATGTAGCTGAATGTATGGACCGAAATCTGTCTTACCATAGAAATCACCGTGGTGCAGTCGTTCAGGAACCCTACGTTTACCCACCACGGCGGTCTGTTGGTTATAGTTCTGAACTGCTTACCCGAAGTCCACGGTATTAAATTAACCCTGGTTTTGACGGTTGAATTTTCGCTAAGGGCGAAAACACTTACGGCTTGTTTACTTGGATTTGATTGCACGTTAAAAAACCCTACATGGTCGAAATTTTTAGACCCCTTCACTACAGCGTTACTCATAATCTTCCTGTGGTTATGGGGCGTTAAACTTCAACAATTACTATTAGAACATTTACTATTACTATACATTTAGCTTTTACACCCATTAAAGAAGGTTGTAGCATGACATAGGAGGGACCAGAGAGTCACGCGATCGGTTGACATCTGCTGCGGGGGTTGTGGTTTGTGCAGGTATCTACCGATGTGGACCAGCTAGCGTCAAGGCTATCAAGCGGGCCGAGGTTCTGAAGCCCTACGATGGCACGTTCATCTTCGCGGAGGTGAACGCAGACCAAATCTACTGGCGTTACCAAGGCCCCATGCAGCCACTCAAGCTCATTCGCAAGGCCACTGACAAGTAAGAAATCATGATTCTATAGATGAGTTCAGAAAGAGCCTAAAACGATGCCGTGCGTGTAGTCAGTGGAGAGGGCAACTTAACACCTACCGTGATCTGTGGCTCCCGGTGTCCAACTGCTCATTCCGAAAGAAACATGCAGAAGTGCTCTGCCCGCTCTTCAAACTTAAATGGGTACTGACACAAAATTTCGGGGCCGAGATAGTCTGCGGGGTCGATTCTCGTGAACATTCGTATATCATCTGCAAGATATCAACAGCGAGTATAGCTTGGAAGGAATTTCGAATTCATTTTGAAGTCTGCGTGAGCGACCGACTCCATAGCGCTATAGACACCCTCGGAGCGGACCACGAGGTGACCCCTACTTCCCTCACGTCACCACGCTGAGGTCAACAAAACAAGTTATGATGACGTCGTAGTCGCCATTTTCTTTTGCCGCGTTAGTTCCCGAAGTCTATATTTCCCGGCAGCTGGTTGCGAGTGTGTGGCCGTGGCGCACGCTTAGAAAGTTTTGTGTTTGGCGACATTCCAGTCCCGTTTCCTATTCGAAAGTAATTCTTGATGTGGACCGTGTGGGAGTACGTCACAGTTCTGTGTGCCTGCGTAGTCGACAGCTGCACACGCTAGGTGGCGACAGTTGCACCCAGTTTCTTGCTTTCAAACTGAAACTGACACTGATTGATAATGAGGGGCCTGTAATTTATTATCTGTTGCGTGCTGCAGCAAACGATGTGTCGTGACATGACTAACAGGCCCCCAGCAACGCGTTGCAGCAGAAAAACGCGAGGCCAAGGTTTTTATGTCAGTGCCCTTTTAAGGAAGTTGATAAAACGGTATGGTAGATGCAAGGTAAGAACCTATTAGGTATTGAAAAAAACTATTGCTTGCTTTTAACCTTCTCTAGCTGACCAACAACTATACGCTGCCGCGAACTCTCTATGAGCGAGAAAGTGGTATCAAGCGACTGCGTCTGGTAGCACTCTCACAGTATCGAGGCAGTTCCGCAACTAACAAGCGTTATAGCGTTCGTCTAGATAAAACTGTACGTAAGTGGTTACCATTCGGGTCAAGTGGTTATTATGTCTCGAACTAAGACGGGGTTCAACTACAGAAAAGCAAAACAACTCGCAGCGTGTTCGCACATCAGTTATACTGTCTTTCATTGTCTCGCAGTAATTTAGTATAGTTTTTTGTCTTGTCATCTGTTCCTTAAATCTCAATCATCAATTATAAGACATGACAGTGCTTGGTTATTGTGCCAAAATCCGAGCATGCGCTTGTGAACAGAGGGAAAGGCAAAACCAAATTGAGATAAGTAGTAGTTAAGATATATAAATATAGTTAAATAAAGTACACTTTATATTATTAAGACTGGTTTCACGACCTACTCGGTAATTCACGTTCTTGTGGAGCACAGCACAAAACAAGTCTTCTCTTTTGTTTGGTGTTTAGTTTGCTCAGCGCCTATAGAGTTTTTCTTTGCATGGTAACATCCAGCAAGAATGCTCCAGTTAGGATATTTTTAAAATCTTGCTGATTATTTTTCGTTTGCCTTTATTACTTTATCAACCGTTTTTAATAGCCATATGACACAATATTTTCTGACTGCTTTTGAAATCTTAACCGGTGATGCGTTTTCCTCCCCATTTAGGATTGGACAGTGCATTAGCACGAAAGCCGCTGGTAAATTTGAACGCGAAGACATCACAGATTCCTACAAGCACCCAGAACGTGAGCTGGCTGACCTTTTCTATTTTGTTTTGCTCCTTCAGTAGTAGATCAAATACTTCACTGAAATACACCACGTGATGTTATATACTACGAATAAGTGCTAACTGATAAGTTCAATAAGTTCGATGTAACTTATAATTTATCCCCTTCTATGGGCCCTTTGCGCTGACGTTTTCAATAATTGACCATTGTTCCAGAGCACATAGCCTAGCTAACACTAGAAAAAATATTATCGAAGATCCTAATGCCCACTCGTCGTGATAGCTTACAATACTTAACAATAGGTTACATATCTCAATGCCTAAAGCTTTGAGAGTAAGTATGCTCCGAATGAATCGGAAGCGTTTATGGTTAAAATAAGCAGCCTGAAACATGGCTAAACAAGGCTAAACACACACACATACACACACACACACACACACACACACACACACACACGCACGCACGCACACGCACACGCACACACACGCACACGCACACACACAAAGAAAAAAAACCATGAGGGGTAGTACAACCTAAGAAGTCTGTGCGCTGTCTAATAGCACAAAGAAGACAATTATTTGATTACGTTCAAAGTAGTTGAACCGTGCCTATAGTCAGAAGCAGCGTCTCCGCAAAGGGACTACGTTTCTGAAAGTGTGACGGGTCACCTGCGTGTCACTATAACTATCATTGAAATGGGTGGTGCGGCTAACTGACCAGTAGCGTTCGCTTACGCTTAAGACGAAGCTACAACTTAGGACGAAACGACTGCGAACGGAACTCTACGTGCACATTTACCTATCTGTGGGGTGGTAACGACCCCATCGAGCTTTTCAAATCACTTTCTTTTTTCGTTTCCCAGATTATTTCGTAGATTTCGCAAATGAGCTCAGTTCAGTTCAGATTAAAGAACGTCAAGAGCGTGAATATTTTTCTGTGGTTCCCTGGAAACACGTGTGAACTTCTTCCTGTCGTGACGCAGTGCCTGTCTTTTGTGCCCACAGACACACAAGAGGAGCGCAACGCGATGCTGAAGGCTCTTCGAAAGTGCAACCATGCCTACTCTCGCTACTATCTCAATGAGGAACTGGAAGACGTCAGCTTTGACTTCGAGCTTCTGGATGACATAGTTATTGGTTCTCCGTTTAAGGTACGCTGTGCACGCTATGGGTTTGTCGATTATATGCATACTTGAGCCAGTTTTGCAATCGTGCTACAGGACGGGTGGTTGCAAGCAGTGGAATCTTTGATGTATGTGTCTTTCGTAACGGGAATATTGGGCGAAGTCAGCAGCAACTCAGAAGTTTTTTTTCTTTTCCGATCACAAGCAATATAGCTCGTATACTCGTTCTACTTTTGAAATTGTTTCTTTTTCACTGTCGCAAAAGGCTCCAAATAAAGTGTGCTATTGGGTGAATGAGATAAGAAATATAACGCGGTGCATGCCAGATATTTTGTAGATATTTTGAAATAACATTTACTTGTACTTCAGTTGCTGATGGCATCAGACAGCGCAATACTTTGATTTATATAGAGTATTTCAGAGATAATATTATAAGCTAAGTACTGAAGGTGGGAATGGCTGGTGTTTCTTTTGAAGGAAATAAGGTGAGATTAGGACTGCATAACAAATTTTCGGTTTAACATCCCTATGGTGCCTTCAGGGAGAGTTAGGAGGAGTGAGCGAAAGAATATGATATTATATTATTAGCGATTTTACGTGCCTGAACTTCAATATTATTAAAAGGCACGTGGTAAGGGAGGACTCGGGATTACCTTTGACCTTATGGGGGTCTTTAACATGCGCTTAAAAGTAAGTACGCGGGTGTTTTTAGATTTCATCTCCACCCGCCGAAATCCAGCCGCGGTAGCCGGGAATAGAACATGCGCCTTCGAGCTGAGCAGCACGTGACCTTCAGCCACATACTGGACAAGATTGCCAGTCGCAGTAATGTTTCGATGTAGACATTACAAAACACAGGAGCCCTCCCGTGCGTTGGTCGCAACAATGATGGTTCTTTTTTTGTTTTTTCTGGACGCGAATTCGCACCGTATCAGTTGTAATTCTGTCAAAGTGTTTTTGACAGACGCCCGTTGTCATCAAGGGGGCCATATCAAATATTACAAAATACTTACGATAGAAACACAAGAACCAATGATGCATTGCTCCTTGGCAATGGTTATATAAGTTGTCTGCTCCATTGTATTTGTGCAGGATTTTCTTTATGCGTTCTGTAGAAAGCCGTCAGGATACGATAAGGGTGGGGAGAACGCGGGATTGTGTTACCTGGCTGTGCACCTAGAAATTTACCCATTTTTGATTTTTATTCAAACAAAAGAACACGCTTTAGTAAGGTAATAAATTTATAACCTTACTAAATTAATTATTATATTATTTTAATAAATTAATTATTTATTAAAAAATGAAACGGTACTAGTTGTCGAAGAGTAAAGAAAATAATTAAAGCTACTAAGGGAGACTTCTTAAGAATGTTTATTTCTAAAACCATCTCAATGTTGCAACGCTAATATGTGAAGACCGGCCAGAACAACACAGGCTTGCTATCTCTTCAGCTGTTCTGCACTTATCTCATTTTATAGCGGGGCTATTCTACGCTTGACGAACAGGCCAGTTTGGTGACCACTTCAATTGTGGGTTCGAAAAAAATTGAGCTGATTTCTTGCATTGAAAACACTGAGCTGGTATATTATTTCGGAAAGACGGATTTTTACTCACGGGAGAGCCTTCAGAGTTTCGTTGGGTGTATTCTGAGCGGTTTTGGTCACAAAAATCATTCTTACAACATCTCTTGTTGTTAATTAACAAATTTGATTTAGATACCTAGCAAAGAAGTTGGCGTAAGATGTTCGAACGCAATAATACTACGTAAATCTGACATATACACCTTCAGAAAATTTGCCAAAATGTGCTATATTTGCATTTTTCTTTTATAATATTCCGCTAACCATGAATATTCGAGTGTGGACTACTTAATTCACAAAAGGTGTATTTTACATTAAAATATTTTCAGACCACCGATATTCAAAACCTTTACGAGAAAAAAATAACACATTTGAAAAAATCTTCTTTTTGGGCCACAGGGGGGGGGGGGGAATCCGTATCAATATAGACCACAAAAGAATGACGAATATGCAACAAAAACTAAGTACACTGACGTTCTTACTTTTACTCCGTCCTTACGCCGTGGCCATGACTCTAGCCCTCCTACCCTAGCTATACAGAGCGATATGTAACTTCTTTTTAAATTCATGACCTGTGAAAGATTAACACTCGAGCAAATAGCTTCGGCATCCGTCTGAAAGCAATGGCGTTCACGGAGGAAATCATTAAAGCTGTCTTATTCCCCTCACTTTTGGCTTGCATCCGGAGGACTTCAAAGACAAATCAAATTTCAGATAATGAAAATTGGAATTCCGGATACCTTTATCTCGTACAGGTGAAACTGACCGCCAGGAACAAAAACCCCATCAAAGAGTACAAGGCACACGTCGTCATGCGTGTAGAGACCACCCACTACACGGGAAACAAGAAGAAGCTGGTCAAGAGCAATCAATTCGATGTCGACATCAAGCCAAACTCCAGTGAGTGCTTTTTTAAACGTACTTTGTTCATACTTTTTCCTTTTTTATTTAAAGCAGATGAACCAAGCAGGTGGGCATAACTAAAAAAATAATTCACAAGGTAACTTCAATATATAGGGAAAAATTGAAGAAAAAAACATGATACGGCAGTGGAACACATCATTACAAATAAAGTAAAATAAGAGCATGATAATGAAAATCGCAACTAAAGAATACAAATCAAGTGCAATGTGAGACAGTCTTGAGAGCTTCTGGTGCAACGTTAAAACAGAAAGATACATATTCATCAAAGTCAAGATCACAGAATAATTCGGAAGGGATTATGGCCCATTCATTGATAGTCTGAGGAAAGATAGAGTTCATGAAATGATTCGTACGGGCGAAGCAAGGTTCAAGAGTGTACCGTGTACGCAAGGTTATGTCTAGAATGTCTTAAATCTTGATAGTATAGTAGTTAGTCCAAAGCAGTTTGCCTTCCCAACCCCTGTCACCTCCCCCTATTACCCCTGCACACAGCCTTATTCTCTGGCGCTTGGGCTGTGAAGCAATGTCCTTCCCTAAAATCTCGTAAACATCTCTTTACCGTTGGCGAATGCGTGCGATGAATGCATACATTGCGCTTCATGTACTTAACTGTTGGACATTACTCGAAGCTTGCAAGTTGGACAGAACGTTTATGTCTCGACGGGCGTTTGGTTGATTCCATGGTTGCGCAAAAGATGTGCATTAGGAATTTCAATGGCGATGTAGGGGAAGGGCATTTTGCCCTTGAATTGTACGCGCCTGCGTATTTTGACTGGAGTATACACTTTATCTTACGTCAATTATTTTAATCAACCATTTCGTAGTGCATCCTTGTCTTAATCTCCTTGTGTGGTGTACTGTTTGCCGTTTAACCGCAGCAGCTCATTCGTAGCGCAAACGCAATAGCCATATCCTTTACGGAGAAAAATTTCTGCTTAAGCATACCACAACAATCTTCACCCAGGAACACTCCTATATGAACATACAGTGATATTATTTACTCAAAAAATTTCTGCGTACAAGATAGAACAATATTATTAGTTCAGAAACGTTCCCGCGCAAACATGCAGCAGTATTCTTTACTCAAGAACTTTCCTGCATACATTTGCGACGTTGGCGCTAAGACGAAACATGCTGCACCATTCACTTGCCATACCTTGCTTCACATTCGGAAATGAAGTCATCGCTCAAAAAAAAAAAAAAACTTGCCAGCTCATTTCTCCTTCAAAGCAGTAATAAGTCGTGTACTTGTCAGGCTAAGCGAAAAAAACGTGTTGTCGTAGCGTTAGAAGCGTGTAATTGCAGAGTTGGGTTAACGCGTGAAATGGATCCGGACTCTGTTTCAGAGGTTGTCCAGACTTTGCTAAAAGGTGTTCTTTAACGCTGGCTGTGCCGCAGTAAAAATGATCTGCATAAGGTGAAGCCTACTTTACTCGCACAGACAGACATGTTTTACAGCCGCTGGGCAGCCTACCTAATCCATCTGTCACTCACACACACATAAAACACACACACACACACACACACACACACACACACACACACACACACACACACACACACACACACACACACACACACACACACACACACATATATATATATATATATATATATATATATATATATATATATATATATATATATATATATATATGACGTAAGAAGGCAGGGATGGTTAGGAGCAGTAGAGGAGGAAGAAGTGAGAACAGAATAAACATGGCGTATAAGCCAGACCACGTCGCCCATTCTTCATAGCGTCACACGAGTCGACAGGATGAAGACCTGGCGGCCACTTCATCAACCGGCCACCATCTTCGAACGTCTCAGCAAGACGCAGTGACCGAACGTGGACCGCAAAAGTACATCCCAACTCTACACCAAGACCAGCATCATGACAGCACCATCAGACGACCTTGACATCCCCAAGTACACCGGATCAGCGGACGATGGACCCGTACAGGACTGGTTTAACCTATTCGAGCTCCACGCTGCCGCTGCATCCTGGTCGGAACGGGAGATGGTTACGAACTTCAGCGACTACGTTACCGGTGAGGCATTTAAATTTTACCTTATTCACATATTTGAGAACGACAAGTCATGGCAAAAAATCAGAGGAGATGATTACCCGTTTTAACGACTATGACCAAGACCTACTCATTGCCAACCATCTAGAGACAACCGCACACTATCGTCAATTTCCTAAGCAGTCCTCAACCATTCGAAAGCCCAGCGCGCATCGACAACTGCCTCAAGACGAAGTGGCACAGGAGTTTACTTACAGAAGGCCATGCGTATACTGGGAAAAACCCAACCGTCAAGCGCGCCGCCCTTCTGCGCGAAAGTCGGCATTTTCAAAGTCATCGCTTCAACATATGACACGAGACGTTGCTCAACCACCTGATGCCCTTCACTCTTCGTCTGGCATACGTGGTCTACCACCTGGGTTTTCGTCACGCGGTTCTTCAAGCGCTCCTAACGCTCACCACTTGCCTTATAAGGATGCCGTATTCATGGAAGATGACCTGGCGCATCAGAAAAATACCCTGCCAAGCCATTCTTCTTCCTTACTGTTTCATGTATCACCGTCCGGTGCACACAACCCCGAGAGTCCAAACAAAACAGAAGGCTCAAACGCATCGAACATCGCACGCTACCAGGCGCAAGAACTGCTCGCAGTGAACAGCGAAAAAGAAGCCCCTGAAGAGCATGCTAGCAATGATGACGCATTACCAACTATGCCAGACAAGCAAGACACCAGTTAACCATTCAGCAGCTGTCTACAGGACGCATCAAACACCGAAGGAAATGAATGCCCCATTCCGGAAGGGGCGCCACTACAGCCATCTCCCGAGCAGCCTCAGCAAAGCAAGCAAAGCCAAGTTCACAAACTCATGCTACAACGAGAGAGTCTGCAACGAGGGCATAGACGAACGCAAAATTCGACGGAAGCGCAATTTTTATTAGAAGAATATCGGAAAATAAGGTCTCTAATTAAAGACGTCAGGCACTTTCGCACAAAGACAAGCCACCGGAGACACTCCCTGCACTTTCTCGTACACCGACTGCACCACCACAGAAGACGCGGAGAAAGACGCGGAAGCACTGCTTGCACACCTCAAGCACTCAGGCACTTCGTCACGGTCTGTCAAAAAGCACGAAAGCAAGAAGCACCGGAATCACACCATTCACCACGAAAAATACAACACCCACGACATAAGAGCCGTCGATGCAACAATGCGTTCCAACATTGCTTAGTCCCCAGAACAGTTCAAGCAGTATTGCCAGTATATATGTGTAGCGCACTCTGTCCGGAACGCAACAGTCAAGCTCGTCCACCAGAGTCGTCATAAAAATCACCGGACTGCTCCCTCGGCCTTGAAGATTTAGTGAGATTGTGGAACTCCGCCGGGTGGTGAAACTGTGAATTTGGCCATTATGTTGTTAATTCTCTTCTTTAATTTGTTGTAGTTTGTAACCGGTGCCACCTTTCGGGGGGAGGAATCCTGTGACGTAAGAAGAGAGGGATGGTTAGGATAAGTAGAGGAGGAAGAAGTGAGAACAGAATAAACATGGCGTATGAGCCAGACCACGTCGCCCATTCATCGTAGCGTCATATATATATATATATATATATATATATATATATATATATATATATAGGGGAAAGAAGTGTATGCTAAGGGCTCGTTTTTCCGTGTTTTAACACAATATTAATGAGATCTAACAGACAGTAATGCCAAGGAATGTACAGGGGAAGTTATTAGAACCAATGGAATGTAAATAAGAAGAAAGAAAAGTGGATGAAAATATAACCAGCCGTTAGCAGGAATCGAACCTATAACCTTAGAATAACGCGTTCGATGCTCTAACCACTGAGCTACCACAGCGGCTTTCCCTCCATCCACTTTTTTTGGGCTTATATGTGAATTTAGAAGTAGGAGTGACAGTCAGCGCCATCTATGCCAAACGACTTTGTGTATATATATATATATATATATATATATATATATATATATATATATATATATATATATATATATATATATATATATATATATATATATATATATATATATATATATATATATATATATTTATATATATATATAAATGTGTGTGTGTGTGTGTGTGACGCTTTACGGATGGAGGAAAGGAAGATAAAGAAGAGGAACAGTCAGAATAAACTGGTGTTCTGACTGACGCCTTGTTTCATCCGTTTCAGCAGTAAGTAGACAGGATCTACCGCACCAACAACATGAGCCCACCAAAGAATATGATCAGCCTGCCGAAATACACCGGAGCTGAAGACGACGTCCCTGTTGACAAGTGTTTGCACCTCTTCGAAACGAAGGCGAGCAACGTCAGCTGGTCCAAACGAGATCGCATCGACTGCATCAACGAGTACCTGCAAGGTGAGGCATTCCGCTGGTACCTCACCGAGATTTTCGACGCAGAAGATACGTGGGAAGGCATCAAAACAAGCATGATAGCACAAGTTTCTGCACCTGCCAGTGACCCTTTCCACCAATTCATACACTGCAGGCTCAAAAGAGAACAGCGCATCAGGCACTACTACGAAGAGAAGATGCGTCTTGGTCGCCTCACAGACTTGAAAGACGTTCACATAGTATCAGGATTGACCAACGGTGTACCTAAGGAGATCGAAAGGCGCCTCGCTGGATTAACGCTCACCACCCCGGCCAAGTAGCTTTCTGTTGCGCTTCAAGCGGAAGACTCTGTCCACACACATGCTTCCCAACACTCACTAAAGTGGCAGCTCATGCATCGAGAGCCTCAATCTACGCGACTACGGCTCCCTGCAGGATCGATGCGCACCCCTCACAGTGAGTGTCGACATTGTGCATCCGCTGGTTTGCCAAATCAGTTTCACTGGCACAATGAGTGCCCTTGTCGTGAAATGGTGTCTGCTCTAACTGACAACTAGGGAAACGAAGAGGGCGGCCCAAAGCTTTATTAATACGTTTTGGTGCACTTTTAAACAGACACATGGTGGACACAACTCTGGATACAGGAGCGACTGTTATCTGTATCAATAAAGTTGTGTTCAATAACTCAAGCTGCAGTTGCTCAAGGATCCATGCATTAGTGTCCAACAAGTCACCTCAACCACAAAACTTTGGGCCACGTACACATACAGTTGGAAATAGGGAAGATAAAGCGGGCAGTCCAAGCACACGTTCTACCAGGCATGAAGACTGAATTCTTGCTAGGCCTGGACATTGCTTCCTTTTTCAACCTGTCACTGGACTTCAACACGATGGCTTTGCTTCAAGACAACAAAACTCTGCAGAATTCCTTTCAAATTCAAAAATGTGTCTTCAGCGCCGATACAACCCCACTCCAAGCCGTTGATGTCACGCACCTTCCACCATCGCAACAAGCTGCTTTGAGAGAGGTGCTTCACAGTTACGAGGACATGTTTCTCAAAGTCTCAGATAAACTTCGGATGTATCGCGGATGAACGACACTGCATTACCCCTAGCAACAACGTCCCTATTCACAGACCACCGCATCGATGCTTCCCACCAGACAAACAGGAAATTGTCAGGCAAGTGGAGTTACTTCTCAAGCAAGGTGTAGTGCGTCCATCTTTTTCTCCATACGCGGCTTCCGTCATTCTTGCAGAGAAAAAAAAAGGCGAAGGAAGCACACGTTTATGCATTGATTATTGAAAGCCTAACTCTGTCACTGTGCCTGGCTACCAACCTATTCCACGTATAGACGATGTTCAAGACTACCTGGGAAAATCGACATATTTTTCGACATTGGATATCACACCAGACTACTGGAATGTCAAAATGAACCTAGAGGACATCCCGAAAACAGCTTTCATCACGCCGAATGGCCATTATGAGGGGCTTGTTATGTCTTTCGGTTTGAGAAATGCTCCTGCTACGTTCGAAAGAGCTGTGAAATCAGTTTTAAGAAGACACAAACTAAAGAATGCCATTATTATTTTGATGATATCATAGTCTTCTCCAACACATTTACTGAGCACCTACAGCACCTTGAAGCTCTATTGCATGCCCTGAAATGGAGAATACAAAACTCCACCTGAGGAATTGCCATTTCGCCCAAGATTCTATTGAATATCTGGATCACAGAGTGTCGCATGGTACAGTGTCAGCTATACGAAGAAACATAGAAGCTGTATTGTGATTCCCAAGATCTAAATCCCCGAAAGAGCTTCAGCATTTTTTAGGCACCACGAATGTTTACTGCCAGTCTATACCGCACTTCAGTGACATAGTATTCCCACTTACGATGCTGTTGAAGAAGGACACACCATGGGAATAGAATTCCTCATGTGAACAAGCTTTTGAGAACATAAAACTCTGTCTCACCAAAGAACCCATTTTACACATTTTTTCTTGTGAGAAACCATGCATTCTTTATTGCGGCGCATCTGACGTAGGCGTAGGTGCAGTTTTGAAGCAACGAGATTATGATGGTAAAGAACACCCCGTTGCCTATCACTCACGCAAGCTACTCACGCACGAATTAAATTATGCCATTACAGAGCTCGAATGCCTCGCTATAATTGACGCTGTTGACAAAAGGCACTGCTATCTTCATGGACGACCATTCACTGTTGTCACCGATCATGCTGCTTTACAATGGCACAAAAACACAAAAAACACCAAGCCGGCTCTTTCGATGGTCTCTGAAGCTGTCGATGTATGACGTTAACATTCGACCTCAAAAAGGCAGCGAAAACATCGAGGCGAAAGCATGTTCGCGGAGCCCTACGGTTCAATTCATTTTATTTCCAGAACTTTAAACTTACCAGGATGATCGCCCTCACTGCAAGTATATAACAGAAAACGGGGTCACTATCGTGACACGCAAAGGAATTCGCAAAGCGTACCTCCCTCTCAAGCTTCGACTGGGCTTTCTGCAGACAGCACACTGTCAGTTCGGACACGTCTGAGTAAAGAAAACTCTGAGCTTGTTGTCATCCCCCTACTATTGGCCGGAAATCATCACAGATGTTTCATCCTACGTCCGCCACTGTGACATATGTTAGCGTTTCAAGAAGCCGAAAACCAAGAGATTCGGATCTCTCGAGTCACTACCACCTGCAGAACAACCCTTTGATCTTTTAGCAATGGACACTATAGGTGGCTTTTCAGGACACGGCTCGAGAAAGAAGTTTATTCACTTGGCGATCGACCACGCTACGCGGTATGTCTGGGCGTTTCCCTACAAGAACGAAACTTGTGACGCATATATTTCGTGCATCACCACCATATTTGCTGCAAGAAAGCCCAAGATTTTTTTATCTGATCGTGGACCAGCTTTCACAGCTGGAACATTAAAGCAGTTTCTAACCGCAATGGTGTCCACCAATTGTTCACGTCCTCCCAGCATCCTCAACGTAATGGCATGAACGAACGTACGAATCAGACTATTGTAACCCGGCTACAGTGCAAAATGAATGAGCAGCCACAGAAGTCTTGGGTCAAACATCTTTCGGATGTCGTCTATGGATACAACAAAACCCTACATGAAGTAACACGATATCCACCATCGTACCTAATGTATGGAATCCCTTCATACGACACAATTTTAGACGCACCAATGCAGAGTGTGCAAGAAGCTAGGAAAAGTGCAATCAAGAACACGCTTGCCTACCATGAGAAGAACAAGATCATCTACGACAAAAAATTCCTACCACAAGATCTCCAGCCTGGTGAATTGGTCCTCTACGAAACACCTTGGCACCCGAACAAAAGAAGACCAAGCTCTCTCATGGAAGGACCTTACACAATTATTCGCAGAGTCTCTCCTGTGAACTATGAGATTGACCGATGCGTAGCTCCGTTAAGCAGAACTACTGACATTGTGCACGTCAACAAACTGCGTCGATACCATTGTCCCAATAAGTTGACGCTCTCTCGGGGGGAGGGGGAAACGTGTGACGCTTCACGGGTGAATGGAGGAAAAAAAGATGAGGAAGAGGAAGAGTCAGAATAAACTGGTGTTCTGACTGACGCCTTGTCTCTCATCAAGAAGCTCCTCGCCTCGGTCCACCCATACCAGAGAGTGGCCAATGGGTGGGGACCCAGGCGTCTCCCCGAGGCAGGCCTTACCAGGAGAGAACGAGCCAACCTGCTGCGGCTGCGAACCGGATGCGTGTAGACCACGGCCCGCCGCTACCTCAAGGGATGCTGCGCCTCCCCAGCCTGCAGCCGCTGCGGCAACACCGAGACCCTTGAGCACCTCCTCTGTGCCTGCCCTGCCTTGGCCCAGGAACGCTCGAGGGTCACCGCAGCCTTCCGGAGACATGGACTTCCTGCCACCACCCTAGAGCACCTGCTGTTCCCATCTCGTCCCCATCAACCAGTGCTCTTGAGCCTGGTGGACTTCCTGGACGAGACGGGAATCGTGGCCTACCGCTGAGGACGGGCCCCTTGCCAGCCCTACCCTTGCTTTAGGACTGCTGTTCGGGCATGCCACTGCTCACTTAATCTTTTCCTCTTCTTTCCTCCCTTCCCCGCATGCACTGTGCCGTGCTCTCAACCGGATTCCAGAAATTAGGTGCCTTTTCTCATCTTCTAACCACTACAACCACGCCTTGTCTCATCCGTTATATATATATATATATATATATATATATATATATATATATATATATATATATATATATATATATATATAAATTGAAGGGTGAAAGGGAGGCACGACAGGTCCGGGTATTTTCTATTACAAATGAACTTGCAGACAGCACATTTGAAAAGTAAATTGGCTTTATTAACGTTTCGGCCGTGGCATGGCCTTCGTTTTGCAGGACAGGAAGTGTCCATGGAAGTGACGTACACAGACTATGAGAAGCTGCTGCTTGACCAAGCCATGTTCAACATTGCCACGTTGGCCACGATCAAGGAGACAAAGTTTGACTACTTCGCGCAAGACGACTTTAGGGTGCGCATGCCGGAAGTCAAAATTGAGGTCAGTGTAACCTTCTCGCAGAAGAGAGATCGCGAATGGTTGCGTGGGGATCGAAAGAAGCACAATAATCTTGCGCTTTGACAACGGCACCCGTAACAGCCACAGAGACACTGTGAGCCGTTAAACTTAAACGTCAATTCCCAGATTTTGAGTGTATTATGGCCAAGTATCCAGGAACAAAACAAGGGTGTTGCACGCCTGCGGAGTATGCGGTTGCTGGGCCGATAGATTCACAGCTTTGCAATCCAAATCGGTGAATTTATCTGCCAAAAGGCACATGCTCTAGAACTAACCTTAGACGTAAAATGTGCATGTTATGGGGCCGTATTCACAAAGATTTTTTTTTTCATTTCACTGCCTGTCATTTCTAAGAACACGCGCAGCATCAGGACTGTCGTTAATGGTTTTTTAAGAAGAATTGGTAGCGTAAGATATTTTCATGAATATGGGTGCCTTAGTAAGTATTCTTGAGATGTGTGCATGAAGCTTCTTGAGTTGCTACAATGTCATTTTGCAGTTGTTGCGACGAAACTTTTCTTTGTTTATTTTATTTTCGGCAAGTGAGAAGAGTAGGAGGCTTCAACTACAGATAATAACGTTTGCAACTTTCCAGACCGATGGTGAAGCGATCGTAAAGAAACCACTGAATGTCAAAGCCTCTTTCATTAACCCACTTCCCAAGTCTCTGAACAAAGGATTGTTTGTCATCGAGGGACCTGGGCTTTCAAAACCGCTGAGGTTGGCCGTCAAGCAGTAAGTACACTGCCAAAAAAAACTAAGAAACAACTGTTGTATACTACGCCTCTGTGAGGTTCTATAGCCAACCATACCCACACAAGCTGTAGATGCGGTTAGGTGATTTTCCCGAGCATCTATTGCTATGGTCATTGAAGATAAAAATTACACAGCGAAAATGGGGATAGGGATGGTTGTGTCATGGCTTCAATCTATTGTCTTCTACAGTGTGACTTACAGGTTCAGTCATTTACCATGTTAAAACTTGGTTACCAAAGGTGTACCGGTGCCTGCATGATGTGGTCGCAGACGCATGGTTTCAGCCGATAGCAAAGCTCGTTTTAAAACTAATGGCTTGTGCCACCTCACAGCATACAAAGGTGTGGCGCATCAAAGCGACACACACACACACACACACACACACACACACACACACACACACACACACACACACACACACACACACACACACACGCGCGCGCGCACGCGCACGCACGCACGCACTAACGTACACACACAGAAAGAACACACGTGCACTGATGTACAAGGACACAGGCACACAGACGAACGCACACATAAAAAAACACGCGTGCACTGACGTTCACGCGAACACACACGTACCCACATACACAAAAACAAGTGTGCACTGACGTACACGCACGCAAACACACACACACACACACACACACACACACACACACACACACACACACACACACACACACACACACACACACACACACACACACACTGACGTGTACACACATAAGCACGCACTAACGTATACACACAGAAAACACACGTGCACTGATGTAAAGGACACAGGCACACAGACAAACGCACACATAGAAAAACACGCGTGCACTGACGTTCACGCGAACACACACGTACCCACATACACAAAAACAAGCGTGCACTGACGTACACGCACGCACGCAAACACACACACACACGCACACACACACACACACACACACACACACACTGACGTGTACACACATAAGCACGCACTAACGTACACACACAGAAAGAACACACGTGCACTGATGTAAAGGACACAGGCACACAGACGAACGCACACATAGAAAAACACGCGTGCACTGACGTTCACGCGAACACACACGTACCCACATACACAAAAACAAGCGTGCACTGACGTACACGCACGCAAACACACACACACAAAACACGCGCGCACTGACGTACACACACAAACATAACACACAGAAAGAACACACGTGTACTGATGTACAAGGACACAGGCACACACACGCACGCATGCACAGAAAAACACGCGTGCGTTGACGCACACACACACGTACCCACAAAAAAACAAGCGTGGACTGACGTACACGCACGCAAACACACGCACATACACACGCACGCACACAAAAACACGCGCGCACTGACGTACGCACACAAACACACACACAAACACAAACACACTCACAGGCACGCGCACACACACTAGTGACCTTCTCTAATATGCCAGCTTGAAGATTGCCTGCGATTTGCTGTTAAAGAACAATCTTCGTGCACGCCTGGTTTAGATTGTGCGAGTCTTCTCAGTTTTCCACAATATTTGCCCAGAATTTTATTTAGGCAGTCATTTGTTTCCGTAGCTGTTCAGAGTTGAAAAGTTGAAAAAAATAATTTCAAAATGCCCCACCTAGACCTTTTTTAGAGGCTACATACAAGTTTCAGCCATATGCTTTGTAGGGCACGTTTCATAGCTAACAACTTGCGATATGAAAGATGGTTTCTAAATTAAGACATCTAAAGCAGATACAATTTGTAATACACGAAACAATAAAGCATAGCACTAATTTCCGAAGAGGACATTTGAAAAAAAAACTATCGCAAGCACTGTAACAATATCAAGTTTGCATTGAAAATATATAACATATATCTGGTTTGGTCCATTAGCATCTGCTTTGTTGGCAACGGCACTTCATAGAACGGTGACATTTGTATCGGTTGTGCGGAGGTGTAAACTGTGTACTTAATTCTCATAAATTTACCAATTTTTAAAGATTACCTAAAGCTACCGTACCCTAGAAAAAAATTTGCCCGTGTGCATTTATAAAAAGTAATATCTTCTTTCAAATCCTACATCTGAATTGGTTTCAGCTGTTGCCTTATGAAACCTCATTTGCTTTTTTGAAGTAAAATAAATCCTACAAAAAGTAGTCGATAAATGACACCAGAGTGCTTGACTCGCCTATTCATTTTTTTTCTTCGTGTGCACTTCAATTTGAACTTGTGCGTTGTTTCCCTTCCAGGAAAATTCCCCCCGGGGAAGAGGTGAGGGTCAATTTCCACCTGACTCCTAAATCTGCTGGACCGAAAGCCATCATTGCCAAATTCAGCTCCAAAGAGCTGAGCGACGTGGATGGTTTCAAGGCCATTGATATTAAGGAAGCGTCTTTCCTTGATGCTGCCCGCCCTACGCCCCTAGCCGCCACTGCTTGACGGCCACAAGTGCCCACTAAGATATTCAATATTATTATTTTTTGCAAGTTGTACTTTTTGCACTTGTTCAGTCACCTACCAGAACATGCTACTTAATCAGCATTAAATCATTGTTTCAATGATTTCGCACTTCGAGGCCGTGATTGTATTTTCAAGAGGTCACCATGAAAATTTGACTAATTCATGGCACGATCTCCAAGCAAATACGTTACCTAAGAAAGTGATCGCCTTCCTCTTCACTGTTTACCCAAGAGATGTGTGAGCATAAGTGGTCCTTGTATTGAAAGACGGGTCTCAGGCATTAAAATAGTGGCCGTTGTACGCACCTTAATGTCATAATTATCATGGAATGTGTATTGATAGGCACTAATGGTACGTAGTGATATAGCTACCAATAAGTACTATCTAGGTACAGATGTACCTTGAATGCGTTAGTTTGTTCCCGTAGAAAAGCCTTTTACAGGGGCCAATGTCGACGCATACGTTGCCCAATGTGTCGCTGCTTGTACAAATGAATGACTGTTGGGACTATATGGTCACGCCACCTTGTTTACAAACAGCATGAAAGAGCATGCCGAGATGAGGCAAAACATGAAAAGCACACATGTATAGCGCTAACAACCAAATTTATTATCACTAGACAGGCAATAAATAGGAAAACAATTTGGATTTTACAGCAGCAGCAAAGCGAAACGCCCTCGCTATCAGTTTTTCACCGGTACAATCAGCCCTTGAAGAAGCAGATTTCTTTTTCTGAAAGGGCGATCGAAAGAGAGCTGACAACACTCTTGATTTCTTTTATGAATCTCGAAAGCTTTCCTAAGCTCTCGTCTCAGCTTATCCGCATATGCGCGCTTCTTTTCGTTTCCTATCCCGTCTCAGCACTGTTTCACGTTCATAATGTATCAACTGGCCCGCCATCCATCCGTGCTGCAGTTTGTGAACAGTCCGTGACCGGATTTGTATATCCCCTTTTGGTTGTAAGTCCAGTACACCAATGCCTGAATGGTTTCGATTTCTGAACTAAACTTGGTTACCACGAGCCCATAGTGCCAGATCAAGAGTGAAAGCAGCCGCAAATGGCTTCTAGAGCAAATAACAATATTATGAACTGAGAAGCTCGCCTGGTTTCAAGCTATATGGTCGTTTCAAATGTTGCGTTAAAGATTGTGCAGCGTTTTGACATTGTGCTGCATCTGAAAATAGAACAAATAGCACTCAGTTTCTTTGCTGCCAAGGCGATCATCATTGCGGACCGAGGCCCACATAAAAAAATTAGCCCTGTGTCTGCATGTTACACTGCAAATGCCGTCGAAAGACGATAGTATTGCGTCTGGAGAGAGTGAACAAAAAGGTTTATTTGATGTTCTGCGCAAGAAAATTGGTGAATGGTATTCTGGAGGCATCGCGCCAGAGTGTGTCGAGCGTGCAGCGGAGGCGAACGAGCGCATCGAGCGAGACTTGAGTGCTATTTGGCAGTTATCTCTGAAAACGAAGCGCGCGGCGGTCGCGGCCGTCTCGTAGGCGAAAAGGTGTAGAACGCAAGTCGACGGGTTGGTTCCACCACCGTGTCGTCTTAGCAAAGCGTTGGAAACACTTGCCTTTTCATACAAGCGTTGCATTGTGAGCGCAGCGTGATAAACGCCCCGGTCCTTAGTATTACTTATGTATGCCTTTTCTAGAAAAAAGACACACATACGAAATATTGACGTATTGTTACGGTGCCTCAGATATGCGCAATGATTGCTTTTTAATTGACAATAGCACAAGTATCATTGCTGAATCTTGAGCAATATTGTTAGGCGCTGCGGATGGGGTCCACCATTTGGGGTCTCGTTAAGGGCGGACAAACAGGCACATGCGCATACAGACAGACCAAAATTTTTGCGTCAAAGGTCCTCAAGAAAGACTATCGTGTTCAAAAAGCCAGCATTCGCGAGAACATGGAAGCTTGAGGAGATGAAAAATTCGTAAGCAGGGGATGTGCTGAAGCTAACGTGTCTACTTGCCTTGAAGAAGAAAAGTCCTCCTGTCCAAACGTTCGTAAACAGCAGCACATCTTCTTTTAATGAATGTTTCATCTCGTACGAATAAAACTGGTTTGATGTGGTGGAGCATTGGTGCACGAGTGAATAAATGGACTTGGAGGTTGATTGGGGTAATCGGTATATTATGCCGACAGCAAACAGCGTGAGAAAGCACGGCAACGAAAAGCACGACGCAGGGGACAAGAGCCGGTCTCTAATTGATTACTTGGTTGACGGGAGTTAGCTATCACAGGGGGGGGGGGGGAGAAGGCAATTGTTAGAAAAACCATTTGCACCGAAAGCATCTAAACAAGAAAAAGCACCTGCTGCACATACCTATACAAGGCCCAAGTAACTGAGTTCTTTATTCAATAAGGTGGCTGCGAGCGGTGGTTTGCCCACACAACCACATATTTCCGCCACCATTTGAGCTTTGTCACTGATTACTCGTCCTTTCTCCTTAATCACCATGGTACGCTGCATTTATAAGTGGCTACCGCACGTAAAAGCTATTTTTCATTACGGGAAATATCGACCTGGAATGTGAAGGAGGGCTCCTTGGCTGTGCAGTGGCAAGTGCGTGTTAGATAAACGATGATTTCTCTGCAACATTGCGCTGGCACACTGTGTCGCCATCTATCTATTTGCGGAGTTATACTAACTTAATTTTATTTTATTTTCCGTAGCGGGTATGGAGGCACCGCTAATTCTCGTAGTGAGACAGTGATCTCACCATGGGTGACCATGGGCCTGCAATCAGACAAGGACCCCAATCACGGAGACCACCGAGATAAGAACTAAACTTAGCTATTCAGGTGTAGTGTGGTGAAACCTCACCACAATCCTATGCATATGCTGGGAGTCCTTTAGACGGCGTTAGAAACTGTTACTCGTTCTGCATGAAGTGGGCCGAAAGCCACTGTGTAGGGCAATGACTCAATTTTTCATCGCATGCGCTGGCCTGCACCAATATGTGAAGCGCTGACTTTGTCCTAATATACCACGATATGGTAAACTTCGGTGAAACGGCCTAGTTGCTTATGAAAAAGCTGGGTTTCTATAGGTGAATACCACCACGTATTCAAGTACATGCGCTAGCGGCTATGAAATCATGAAAATTGTTAAATTGGGTAATATTCCGAGTCGGGTAAAAACAGTCCATTATCACCTACCGGGTGCGGTAGCTTACCATGTGTCACGCTGAGGAACTCAAAACGCGAGTTTGATTCCCGCCACGGTGACCACATATTGATGGTAGTGAAATGCAATACCACCCGTGTACTTAGAATTAGGCACACGATAATTAACCACAGATGGTCACTGTTAACTCGAGGTCCCCCAATTCAGCGTGCCTAATGATTGCATAGTGGTTTTGACACTTTTAACATCAGCAGTAATCAAAAAGGCTCACTAGACTGCATAAAAACTCAGTACACTCAATACTCGTTGTATGACAGTGTTTACCTGATGAAGCTGAGTAGCACAACGGCGACAGTTTTTAAAAGCAAGGATCAGTTTTCCTGGACGAGCCGCGTAACCTATTCAAACGCGGGTGATGACCCCGAAAGTTCCTCCCCTTGGCTAAAACTTCTATAGCGGACAAAAAAGGAGTTGTCAGGCGACCTAACATCTCGTCACCTGTTCGGCATGAACTGCGGTACTTCTACGATGTCCCGTCCATGATGGCACTGGTCTGAAGATGGTGTGACGGGTTCTATGACGGGTTCAGAAAAAACGTGTGCTCGACGATGCGGTAAGGGCCTGTCCACGCGCTACCCGCACAGCCGCAACGCACGTGTCGGGGCATTTGGCGCTTTTCCACCTTTCACTTGGGTGCGGCGAGAGTCCGTGTGTTGCGGCTGGGCGGGTAGCACGTGCTTTTGCTCATTTGAAGGGCGAGATCACGTTATACCCTTCCGCATGTCTTGCCGTATCGGAAATAGACGCACATTCAGATAAATCTGGGCTATGCCAAAGAACTGCGTAAGTTGCATGTGATGGTTGCCTACCGTATACAATGAAAGAGGAACGTCTGTGGTGTTCTAAGCAGTGGTATATTACGTGTATACGTTAAGAAAGGCAGAACAACACCAAAATGTGTGCAGTCAGCGGGTACGTGCATTCCAAGCATGTCGTCGAGAGTATTGTAGAAGCGTTCAGTACGACACTGGTTTCAGTGTGTTACAACGTAGTGGTGGAATGAACAAAGCAGTACTTATTGAGGATGGCTTCAACTACTTTGAACAAGAATACACATCCGGGATCACTAAGCAGCTTCTTGGGTTGACCCCGATACACAGGATAAATGAAGAAGGAAGGAGTGGCATCGCGCACTGTGGCTGCTGGGAAGGCGCAAGTTTTGGAGTATTGCGTGAGATGCATGGTCAGCTGCTACGCTGGCCCAGCGGATACTAACACATGCCAGAGGATGTAGCCCATACAAATCTAGTTGTCACTGGAGCCTTCGATTGTGAACCTAAATGCATGTCTTTACCAAAGTGGCTTTAACCAGTGTACATATCACGGGACCCGACGACATCGCTGTGTCGTACACACTGAGTGCTCCACGAAACGTTTATACACCACAGGGAAAGCATTTGCGGGGCGGCTAACGCCAATCTCAATCACATTAACTGGGCAAGTCACGCATGTGACAAACACCATGAAACACAACACCAACCCTGCATTTAATATTACCGGTGCGTGAGCAGTCCGACATTATGCTGCCCAGCGTGTACCTACATGACGACCTCTGGGCAGCCCTTGTGGCCGAATACGCCGCCAAGAATGAAGGTCGGACCACCGCCTGAAGGAGGAGGCCTGCGATGTGGCTAGTCTCCCGGTCCATGCCTCCTCACCTCCAGTGACAACCAAATTTATAGCCTCTCTCTTGCCACTCAAACACGTGCTCAAACCAGTAAAACATTATTCTTCAAGGCAATTCTGGCTTTCAGCGGTGGCCTCAAATATATGCAGGTAGTACCCAGGTCATAACCACCTTATCAAATGACGCAAGCAGCTTGATTGAGTTTCAACGCAATTTATTCTCTTTTTCTTCGGTGTTGTCGACTCTTGACTATGTGTCTATGCGCTGCTGCAGTC